ATCTTCTCAGGTCCCTTCCAACCCTAGAAACTATGAAAATGTAAAAGGCAAATGAATGTGCATCCTATTACTGGACAACTCCAACACTTCTGTCAGGATCGTGAAACCATGACAGTCTATAATGCACAGAACTCCCTCACAAGGCTCAATCTCAGCTGTAGTTGTACACTGTTACCTTATACTTTGCTCTGAGGTGGTAAAAGTTCAGTAGTCTAGATGTGGCATTAAAGTGCTATTCCCAACAAATCTGAACTAGTTCCTGAGTGAATCTTAGGTTATGAACAGTGATCAAGCTCTATCACTGAAGTATTCAGCTAGACAAATGCTTCTGTTAAACAGATATACCAGTTCCTGAGCTAAGCTTTAAATACAATTTTTACCTGTGCCGGTGTGTCTGTTTCATTAATTGGCTGCCCATCAAACCGGAATCTGATTTGCCTCATTGACAAACCCTGGATAAGAAAGAACACAAAGCAAAATAAATGACTTGTTAAAACACTCCTCAGAATTTGTTCCAATATGTAACTGGAACTGCACCTTGACTCAAAATAGAAAACCAAATCATCCACAGTTCATACCAGAGTTTTCTTACTTTTCTCATGCACCGGTTTTGGAGCTACCAGACCAATTGCCGTGATTTACAGTAGTAGGTTGTGTGTTACAAGTTGCAATTTAGTTGTTAGAACATAAAACAGTGCCCCTACTGACAAAAGGCCCACAAAGCCTACATGAATTTTTTCACAAGAATATTTAATATTCAATAATACAGTTTAAAAAAAAAAAAGTTAGAACTAGCACTTTGCATATCAGGTGTCATCATCAGAACAGCAACAACCCTACCCGCAAAAAGGAAACACGGCTTCCTAGTTTTCCCCAAAAGCTGATATTGGCCTATTAGTCCAAAGCAATTCAAGAAGTAACCAATTAATCCTAAAGGTAACTTCTTGAACACACAGGTAACAGTTCACTAATTTACAGTTAGGTTTCAAAGGAGTCGATGGAACCATCTTGCTTCAGAGGAAATCTTCCAAATAAAATATATTACAATCAGAGTAAAAAAAAGAATTCAAATTCATGTCACATTTTGCTGATTCTCCCATTTCCAAACAAAGTTATCAGACCAACTAAGAAAGAACAGCAGTTAAAATGCCCAGCTAATTAGTAATAGTTCTGTGCTTTAACATAAGCTTGAAGTTTGTAAACATTACTTCAGAGGCACTTTAGCTCTGACCTCTCAGCTCTTCTACTGGCTTGCTAAAGAGAAGGAAAGATTAAGGATGAGGACATACAGCACAGTAACTGTGTTTACCACAACCTTAATCTATCGTAAGGAGCAGGTAAGTCTAGCTCTTCCCAGCTCCTGCCTGGGAGTTCTTGCAAATTCTATGATAAACCTTGACCACTAGGTGGCAGAGGTGCCAATTTTCATTGAGCAAAGAACTAGGGAGGTTGATGCCAACCATGGGAGAAGACACACAACAGGTACCACTGTATATTTACTCCTCATTTTCCAAGGTAACTACATCCCCAAAATGAAGCAATTTACACCGATACAAAGCTGTCCATCATGTCTCTGCTGTTTGCTCTGCAGTAAATGTGCTGTGTGTCCACATCCTAAGCAATTTGCCCAAGGATAGTTAGTGGCAGAACTAAGACCAGAACTCCTGTCTCAATTCCAAGCTCTATCCTCTGCCTAGCTTGTGAATGTACAGCAAATATTTTTCTATTTTTCAATTACACTGTGTGTAGCGGACCACAGTGAACAGCAAAATCCTTACTTTGCCACATAAACGAGAAACAAAATTGTAGTGTCACGAATAGGTCCAGATGTCAGGAACGAAGTTTTAGCAAAAATATTTAAGTGAATAAAAACCTATGGTTTATAGCAAAACAAAGTCTCACCAGTAAGACCAAATTTCATGCTAAGGAACAAAATAAGTTCTGGCACGTTCACCCATGACTGTCTTAATATGATATAAGGTAAGCAGAGGCAACACAACCCACTTCTGCACAGCAGAATTTGTTTCAGGCATGAGTGTTTAAAGGCTGAATGTTATAGACAACTTGTTCAGCTCTGGGGATGCTACTCTAAACTGCCAATCTCTTTAGGAAGAGACTTCCTGTTGCCAGGTTACTGAAGAGGGGTATTTGAAAGGAAGAATTAGACAGATGGAAAAAACTGGAGATTTCATCAAAAAGAATATATACTGTTTCTCTAACAGCATGCATCTTACATTACATATTCTTAAAAAAAATAAAAGTGTTATTTTGCAGATTCCTAGCAATTGTGCATGCGTCTCAAAATGGATCCTGACTGGCATTCACTGAAGTGCTTTTCCAACCTCAGGAAGACATGGCTCTTTATGCATATAGTTCAGTATACTAAAAACAAGTTTCAGTAATGCAAAATCGTCACCCGCGTTGATAGTCAGAACTTTAAATTAAACTCTTTATTTACATTTCATATTTAGCATACATCATGCACGACTTCCACTCTACACCACCTAGTTTACATTTCTCTCAAAAGCCTGGTTTTTGTTAAGCTTTGCTTTTTTAAGCTAGAGTTTAACCAGGGTCTACCTACCTTGTACGTATCAGAAGAGCCTGATTTTTAGAGGTGCTGAACACTCTCAGTACCCAATGAGGTCAAAAGGAAGCTGTGGGTTTTAAGTATGTTGAGGTATACTTTCACAATATAATTAATATTTGGTGCCTAATCAGTTAACAGCCCAGTTCAAAAATATGGCCTTTGTCATGTGGGCTTTTGCTTCTTAATTTAGCAACACTTTGAATGCTGGCTTATTTAAAACTTGATTTCTGCTAATTGCAAAAGGTGTCTAAACCTTACTACTCATGGATTTTCACGGGTTAAGCACTCTCACACCAGTTTTATTTTTAAAGTATTTAAACAAACACAGCAAACATGTTATGTTGACTAACCTGAGTGTCCATGATACTTTCCATTTATATCACATCACCTTTCATCCAAGAATCTCACAACATTTTTCAAACAGTTCATTAATCTTCACAAAATCCCATGAAGATGGTGTTTGTGTTTACACTTGGGAAACCGGAGGGTCAAATGACTTACCTAAGCTAATGAGAGTCTGAGAGTGAGCTGCAGAAAAGGAATCCAGAGCTTCACAAACATTCTCTTGTCTATTCCCATCACACTTCTCAGAATGACTGAACTCTTAGATTAGGTCTGGACCAGACATGTTTTTTTAATAAGAATCCCAATTTGTGGTCCATGTGCAATTTCTACTAAACTGGAACCAGCATAACCCAAAACATGACTGCTATTATATCCAAATGAAGATCCCTTGTACTGGTCTGGCCTACCCTTTTTCTGGAGTGCATAACAACGTTAGTATAACTGTGCTCATGCAGGGATGGGAAGGATTATACCAGTTTAACCTGGTAAGAAACAAGCCCTTAGATTCATTTAATACACTTAAAAAATTCCTGTTGAAGAAGGGCTTTTAAAAAATAGACATCCATGAGAAAGTTCTGGGCAATGTCACAAAAAAAAAGTTTTTCTTCAACTGCTGCTGCAAAAAGTGTTATTGCAACACTCTTTCTGCAACCATTATGTTCAAACTCCCCTCTTTTAATACCTTGAGAGGCAGGTTAGGTACAGTTGCTTGCATGCTACCAAAATGCTTGCCACTTTCTTTTTGTGAACTGGAAGGGGGTGATCAGGACAACTAATCCCCTAAAAATAAACCAAACCTTATCACAAAATGTGCATGTT